GGTCACAATCAGCCGCCCCCGCCCCCCCTCCCTCCCACTATGATGGGCATGCAGCCACCCCCACCTGCTAATGCTACTGCTGCTGCTGCTGCTGGCGTGGTGAACCTGATGCAGCAACACCATCAGTACCAGCAGCATCAGTGGGGTTATGACGGTGACGGCGGCCAACAACAACAGCAGCAGCAGCAGGGGAGCCAAGGGTCGCTGGACCAGCAGCACGTGGTGGGTCAGTGAGGGGCAGTGAGAGGAGCGGAGAGGCCGGTTCGGTTTTTTCCTCTCAGTGTGCTGGGAGCGTGGCGTGCTGCTCGCGTGTATGTGGTATTTTTGGAGTGGCCTACTATCGATGGCATGGTGGATGGATGGATGGAGGGGCTTGGCAAGTGAGGCGGGCAGGGCATCAAGTGTCTTGTGGGTCCCTGCATGGCATGGACGGATGTGGTAATTGGTGCCCCTCTCTCCCTGTCTTCTGTTGACTGACTGATCGATCCGTCGAGAGGGGTATTTTTCGACAGACAGACAGATGAGTGAAGACACAGCATTGATCGCCGCGCACACAGACACACATCCATCCAACCATGGCGAGTGTGGGTGCTCACGTACTGATGCACACACTCCGCACACTCATTCCACACATGCCTCCCCCACCTGTCTGTCTGCCTGCCTGCCTGCCTTGCAGTGACTTTCTGTTCCGTGCGATGTCTGTCTGTCTGTCTGCCTGTATTCATCTCTGTGTGTGTGCGTGCGCGTGAGTGAGTGAGTCCATGCTGTCCATCCGTGCCTGCGAGTGCCGATCTGTTTATAGCTAGGTTTATGAGTATGTGCTGTGCGTGGCCGGTTGTTTGTGTGTGTCGTGTCCCTCCTACAAAACAAACAAAAAGGTTGCGATCTGCCTTGCCTGTGTGTCTATCTTGCTGGGTTTTAATTCATTGGGGCCTCACTTCCTTTTGCCACCCATCCGCCCGCCCATCCGCCCACCCTCCTTGCCTCGATTACTAGTTGTGTTGTTGCTCTGTGTTGTGTTGCGTGTTGCTCTCCTCCACAAAACAAAGGCAGGGGCACGGCACGCTGTGATTGATGTGAAGGGGTGAGTGAGTGAGTGTTGTGCCTGCTCTTCTTGAGGGGGGGGGAAGATGTGTCTGTCTTTCTTTGGGCTTTCCACCCACAGCACAGCACACACACATCAATCACATTGATCACATATTTTCTACCGTGAGAGCGTCCAGGCAGGGAGGCAGGGAGGCAGGCAGGCAGACAGGGAGGCACACATACAGGGAGAGGGGGAGGGGAGGGGGGAGACCGAGAAGGGGCACGAGAGGTTGACCAAGTACACAGAAGTGTATGTATCTGTCTGTGCCCATTTCCATGTCCTTCCTTGCTTGCTTGAGCGATCGATGTCAGTCCGTCCTGAGTGAGTGAGAGACTGTTTTTTGTCGCTTGGTCGGTCAGTCGGGAAGAACGCATGGATGGATGGACGGATGGATGGATGATGGATGATGCTGGATTGGCGCGTCTCTCTCCGCCACCTGCCTGTGGTTGCGCCGTGTGTGTCGAATTGAGCTACGTGGCTGACTGACACGCACCGCACCGCCGCCCACTGAATGGCTGGCAGGGGAGGAGCGCAGGCAGGCAGGGAGGGAGGGAGAGGGGGCGGAGGGGAGGGGAGGGGCGTGAAGCGGGCAATCTGTTTTTTACACACCACTGCCCGGCTCGACACTGATTGAGCGGTCGGCCGGTCGGCTGGTCGGGGCAGGCAGGCAGGCAGGCAGTCAGGTCCACTGGGGTGGACGACTGCCAGACATACATACACATCAAATAAAAGCACGTCCGTCCGTTCCGTCCTATGGCTAGACTAGATAGGTATCTACACACACACGTGTCTGTCTGTCTGTCTGGTGAGTGAGTGAGTGAGGATACTGACTGCTACTAATGGATCGATCGCATGTTGGCTACAGGAGGCCCACTGGTGGCAAAGATGTCATGATATGCGGGCGCACTTACTGGGCAGGGAGGCAGGGAGGAAGGGAGGGACCGGGTAGGGTTGGCGGGGATGGGAAGACTGGCTGGCTGGTGATTTGTAGCTAACAAGAGTGTGTGTGCGTAGTGGCTTTCAAGATGGTGTCTGTCAATGATGTGCATGCGTCGCGTCTTTCTAGAGTCGGGAACCATGGGGACTGACTGCACACAGCTGTCTTGTCTGTCCGTCTACATCTCTGTCTGTTTACACGTCCGTCTCACTACGGTGCTCCTGCGGTGCGTTTGAAGCACGCCCGACAGCAGCAGTCCTCCTCTGCGATGCGACAGCCGTCGCTATCGCACTGAGTCTCACCGTGACTCGATGACAGCACACCCGACAGACAGACGTACAGCAACGCTCTATGTACCTCTCCGTCATTCAGTCATTCTGTTTCGTTCATTGAGCTGCTGACAGCCTGAAATGGGGTCTCATCCAGCTCGGCTCTCTGCGTTTTCCGTAATCGTATTCATTCTGCATGCTTGCACGAGATGGATTCTCTTGCAATCTCCCCCTCTCCCTCACCTCTCTCTCTCTCTCTCTTTTTCTCTCCCTCCATCTCTCTCTCTCCCCGATATGGTTATAATGTTATGGTATGTCTGGTCGTTTTTCGATGGACCATTAGGATACCCCACTGAGCACGGAGGAACGATGAGCATGACAAAGCACCAGCATGAAGACAGCTGTGGCCGGCTGGCTATGGTACGATTTTGTGGCCCAGCCGGCCGCCTGCGGGGGAGGGGGTGGGGGGGAGGGGAGGGATGCGATCGATTGATGGTTGAAGGGATGGGGGGAAGGAGGGAGATTTTGTGTGGCCGGTTGGTTCTTGAGGGTTTGACTCGGCTCATCTCATCTCATCTCGTCTGGTTGGTACTGAGTTTGCGCTGAATGGATGAGTGGCGGCAGTGGACGATACCTACCTACCGCACTGTACTGCATGTGCCCGTCCGTGTTGAGAGGAAGGAAGGAGGAGCAACGTCACTGACTGACTCATCCATCCATCCATCCATCGGCAAGATGTGGTGATTGTTGACCCCAGAAGCCCCCTCCACCATGATGTGTGTGTGTGTGTGAGTGTGTGCGTGTGTGTTGTGTGTTGCCTGTATACTATCTCCTTCGTGTGAGAGTGCATGCGTGAACATTACACCGAGCGATCCTTGCAATCTCGGCAGCACATGCGCCAAACATCTTGGCAACTTACAACCCTTCCCTCTAGACATGTTCTCACCACATGGACGCCCGAACACGGCCTCAGCGTTGCGTTCAATCCCCTCAAAAAGAAGCGCGCTTATCGCGAGCTCGCACTTTCAATCGCTTTCCTCTTCTCCTCTCTCCCTCTTCTTTCTTTCCCTCGCGACTGCTCCCCACACCATGCTGTCAGCTACCTCCCCGCTGGCCAGCGCTCACTTCTCAGATCCGCCAAAAGACGAGCCAGCCTCCGCAGATCACTCCCCCGCCAGGCGCGTCCCGAGGAGGAACAGAGCAGTGGCGACGAGGGCTCGCTCGTCAACCTTCGAAGTAAGGCACACGAAGGAAGGAGATCACACGAATGGATGGTGGCTGATGTGTGTGTTCTGTGTGCTGCCAGAGGGTGGTTGGCGAGGTGTTTGGCTGTCCCGCTGCGACCTGCAGCCACACGCTGATGGAGATACTGCGGGAATGGGAGGTGGATGGAGACGGTCGGTTCACCCTTGATGACGTGGCCCAGGCAGCCATCTTTGTCGAGCGGCAGCAACGCGTGACCAGAAGCCTTGCCTGCCTCGTCGCCGCCGCGGCCGTGGGGTGGCTGCTCACACTGCTCATCTTGTTCGCCATCGCATACGTGTCCAGCGAGCTGATGGAAGACGTCACGGTGGACCGGTTTGGCCGGATGGTCAAGAAGAGTGACGGCAAGACGGTCATCTCGACCAGGGCAGCCATGGAGAGCATCGACATCTTCGACCTCCTCACCATCGATCTGGGTGGGTATCTCATCTCGGCAGCCGGGGGGAAGGAACGACACACGCGGTATGCCTCCCTCTCTCGGTGAATGTCTGTGTGCAGCGGACCTCTACAAACTAGAGAGTCTGGCCTTCAGTTACAAGATCGGGGTGGGCATGTCGGTCGACACTTTCCTGCGCATCTCGGAGGTCACCCGGAACGCCGCCATCCCACTTGTCGAAATCAAGTTCCTCACCGGCCAGCGGATGGAGATCATGCCAGTCGGTGCACAGTTCTTCATCGCGGACACGAACGCCACTGGCGGCCTGCCCGTCGCCTTCGTGAAGGGGCCAGAATACGCCGACGACAGCCCTCTGCTCGTGAGATGCACACCACCCAGTTGTGAGATGGAGGCCCCATCCCCGAGCAGAGACGGCAATAATGCGACTGCCGCTGCTGTTGTGATTGAGGCGATGGGTGTGACGAATGGTGGCGATAGGAGACGGCGGAAATTGGTTGTGCCTTCCATCTTTGGCAGGCCTGAACGGAACAGCAACATCTACTTCAATGGGTGAGCAATGAATCATTCATGATACCCTACCCGACAGACTGTGAATGGAAAGGGGCGGAGGGCATTCTCTGTGTCTGTGTGGTCTGTTTGTTGACGCAGTGGCGATATCTGGTCTTGGGGTTTCAATGACTTGGGTGCTGGCAGATTCGAAGCGCTCTTCGGTATGTGAACACATACGCACAACAACAAGCGAGCGCACTGACCCGGCCGGCAACCTACCTACTCTTGTGTGCGGTGTCAGCTGGTGGGTGGCGGGGGTCGCGGGGCGACAGGAACCAAAGGCGACCACGAGACCGGCGGTCCATCCTGGTTTCTGGATCTCTTGGATCATCGTAGCAGCCAACACGGATACACACACACACATGCACACACACACACGCACGCAGACGACTGTGCTCTCCACCGCTTGGCCTGTCAATATCGTAGGTTGTGACCACTCCTCTGAATCGTGTGCGTGCGTCCGTGTGCCTGATGTGTCCCCTGCCCTCTGCGTGAGTCTTGTTGTCTGTGGGGGCGGCGTTGGCGGTCAGTACATGTCAATCATCTGTCCTCACATGTGCCTTGTCAGTGTCGTTTCTTCGGGGGGTCATTGGGGCGGGCAGCATCAATCAGTTAATTAACTAGAGAGCCATTTGTTGCGAACAAATGTGATTTGTTGTCAATGGTTGGGGGGTGTCATGGCTGGCTGTAACAGTTGTACAACAGGCAGGCTCCTAGTACGGGCAGGGCAATCAGGTTTCATGGTGGGAGGGAGAGATGGTACATGCATGGGTGGTGGGTGCTGTCGAATTGATGTGGATTCCACCCGCCCCCACAACCAGCGACAGGGTGCCTAGCTCTTGTTCGTCGGTCTCTTGCATGTCTGGATGGGATGGGATGTTGGTGTGGAGAGACAGACTATATGGTTTTGGAGGGAGGAGACTCGTTGGACTGGCTCGTTTTTCGCTGGCTGCTGCGCCAGTCAAATGTTCATGCGATCGTAAAACCATGAGCAAGCAAGCTACCCTTTCGCGGCAACGATATGGTACATCGTCTTCACGCACCCCGCCAGCTGAACGAATGGATACAGACATGAGGGCAGGGAGGGCATCACGACCAACATCATGAGGGCACCTTGCATACCTGCTCAATCTTACTCCCGAAGCCATACTCTGGAAAATTGAAGTACGATTGTCTGGCAGACACACAGAGACACACGTGGGGACGGGTCTGAGCGCATCCCTGCTGATGGGGGAGGCACATGACAGCGTACCTGTGTTTAAGGAGGGTGAAGAACTCATGAAACTCCAGCGAGCCACTGCCGTCGACATCAAACACGCGGAACACCACATCCACCAACGGACCGAAGTCTCGGTCTGACTCAACGTCGCGCGACAGGATGTTCAACACACTGGCGAGACACTCTCTTGTCAGCCCCCTGTCGCCCTCCGTCAGTCGCACAGCCGTCTTGAAGTCATCGATCTTCCTGACGCACTTGTCAAACGCCAGGTAGTCGGCAAAGGTGACCCGCTCGTTCCTGAAGGTCAGCGTGCGGATGCGCTCCGCGAGGTTCTCCATCTGTGCCGGCAGCACGAACCCCACAAACAGCCGGGCAAACTCAGATGCTGCAGGCAGGAGACACATCAATGCATGCACCCTGGCGCTGTGTGTTGCCTGCCGGCATCCATCCCCACCTGATAGCGACGCGTCCTTGCTTCTTCCCTGCACGTCTCCGCACCTATTGAACTCGATAAACAGCACCTCTTCGTGAAGGAGGAACAGCAACTCATCGAACTTGTGCCACGGCAGCGGTCTGTCCCTCGTTTTGCCAAACAAGTGGTCGCCGAGGGTGCCACTGAGGCACTCCTTGCACACGGCCTCCGGCGAGTCGTTGAATGAGACACCTCTGCCATCTGGAAGCTTCATGCCGGAACTGCCAAGGGCCGCGGACCGGTACCGACCGCCACGCGGGGAACGCCTGCGTACCGGAGCAGAGACGAATGACACCTCTGTCGTCCCTGAGGCATGCGTGTCTCTCTGACTTGATCATGGTGGTCATGAGCTTCACAAACTCATCGTATGTCACGGATGCCTCCCTGCGCTTAGCAGTGGAGGCCGAGGACCCTTCATTGGCTGTCTTGCCGAACAAACTGCGACGAGACATACGCAGGACACACAAACGACCACAAGAAGATAGTGCCCACACATCAGAGACCTACCGAAAGGCGAGTTCAAAGTCGTTTGCCGGGGTGGAGAGAAGTGTGGTGAAGAAGAGGAATTCAGCGAAGGATATCCGCCCGTCCTTGTTGCTGTCAGCAACGTCGAACACCGACATCCCCCCCGCCCCGGGCACCGCCTCTAGAGATGCCGACGTCTCGGAGGGCTTAAAGAAATTGTAGGGAATGATAGCGTTGACGAAGTCGTCTTTGTTCATGAACCTGTCCTTGGTTCTCTTGTCGGCGATGCTTGCGAAGTACTCAAACACCTGCATGTTGCACACACAGGCACATGCACTGTGCCGCGTGCAGCGTCATCCAGGTACAATACCTTTTCAGGTGCAGCACAGCTCTTCAGCCTGTTCTCGTAGTTGCCCGTGATCCTCCGGGGGCCCAGAGCTTGCAAAGCGCTCTCCAACTTCGCCCGAAGCTCCTCGCCCTTTTTGGCTGCCTCGCCGCCAGCCGATTTCGCCACGGCACTCTCTGTGCCTCCAGAGCTTGCATATGCCACAGAACATGAGAGAAACGCCCATCGGCGAGGGTGTGTGTCCCTCTGGTGAGTGCGGTCCGTCGATGTCTGAAGGATGCCTTTGCGACGTCTGTGGTTGAGGGCATCGAAGGCAGCAGAGAGAGTGGGAAACGAAATCGCAGCAGCGAGCCGCAACTGCGAAGCCATTGATGCAGGGGAGAAAAGGGGAAAAGAGATCTGCGATGCGAGCTAAACGGCTTACCAACGGCTGGCACGTTGAACATTGAAACTGTACGAATCAGGCTTGTTCTTGCTGCTCTCAGTGCAAGACAAGATGCAGGCCGACGTTTCTGTCCTCCCCGCCACGCCCATTCCCCCGCCCTCCCCGTCTCCGGAGCCGGCCATCTGCGTGATCGACTGCACCGGCGCCACTGTTCAATCTGCCCTCCCGCCCCTCCTTCGATGCTATACGGGTGGGCTCGTGGACTATCGGCCGCCACTCTCTGTCGGACCAACAGCACCTTCGGGTGAGAGACCACGTCATGAGTGAGTGAGTGAGAACTCAGAGAGACGCATGGAGTCGGGTCGACGCACGGCGTCTGTGCCTGTCTGTATGTCTGTCTGTATGTCTGTCTGCCTGTCTGCCCTGTCTGCAGCAAGAGATTACTTGAAGGACACACTGATGGCCAAACTCGGAGAGGTATGTGGCGACTTTAATGGCAGGAGGGAGATTCCACCCTTCACTCTCTCTGTGGTGTCCATGACGTCAGGCCATCGAGCAGCTGCTGCACAAAGCCGACAAAGATGGAGCGATTGCTCTCACGATGACCACAGTAGGCGCACAGACACACCAGGTGGTCATTTATCGAAGAGGTCTTTCTTTGTGCTTTGTTTGTTCAACCAGCTGCGTAAAAAGCGTGCCCCATCATCGCATGTCGGCCAGGCGGGTCAGTCGCAGAAGGAGGCTGAGGAAGAGGAGGAAGTCCCCGATGTGGAGGGCGAAGGGGAGGAGAGGGCTGAAGACGACACGGTCATCGAAGACGAACACGACAAACTCGCTGAAGAGGGGCACCAGGAGTAAGCGTGGGTCAGACGAGACACGGATCGATAATGGCAATGTAATGTGCATTTGCGTCTTGCACAGTGAGTCGGGTTCACAGGCGTCAGATGGTCAGGGTGCGCTGGACACCGAGAGGGAGAGAGGCGGGTCATCCGACAGCATCGCATCCGTCGCCAGCCGAAGGATCACTCACGTAGTTTCGCAGCGCGGCAGCGTCACTTCCATTGGATCTCACGTTGAGACGCCATCGTCCGTGACACACAAGGGACCCAAACAGGTGCTTCATACACTATGTGAATGGTGGGTCAGTATATCGATCGTGTTTTCGTTTCTGCAGAAGCTGGCCGCGTCGTTTGCTGAGCTTGCCCCTATTGTGCATGAGCGCCCGACCCCCCCACTCTTCGACCCCATTCTGTGGCTCGGACATTACCTGAAATACGGAACGTAAGCCAACCCATCCCCCACCTCAGTCTGTCATTCCTAGCAACACCCTCTATGTTGTCAGGGACGTGACTGCTGAGGAGGATGAGCCAGGGAAGGAAGAGGAGCCTCAGAAGCGGGCCTCTGTCACCTTTTCCTCCGCCCAGCCCCCTGCTGCCGCTGCAGATGCCACACCATCCCCCATCACATCATTGCACGGCCAGCCGTCGATGCCGCTAGACCTCAGCCATGTAGGGCCGACAGAGGGGCCGACAATCATCACGCCGAGGAGCATTGGTGCTTAAGGAGACACGACTACCAGGCACACATCAACTCGCCCGGCATCTGCTGGTGTGTGTAGGCATGCGTCCTGCACCTGATGCCTTTTTGGAGGATCTTGTCAAGATTGCTGCGGACGCAGCGGCCGAGGAATGGGTAGGAGGGATTACGAGGGACCGTCGTCGTTGGCACGCACAGTGTCAGTATTGTCCGGTGCTGTCTGCAGCAAGGTCCAGACGTGGGCAAGTCGGATGAGGAGGTCGAAGCCGTCAGAGCGGTGCGGACGTTACGCAGACATTCTTGGGACTTCATCATCTGCTTTTTTGGCCGACCTCAGGCCTTTTCGAAGGACATTTTCTTTTCAAGTTTGAATGAGGACGAGCAAGCCGATCTTATTCGTGTAAGCCCGTGCTGCACTGATCTGCTTCTGCTGTCACTCACTTCCGCATGAATGCCACTTCAGGCAATGAGTCGTGTGGACCTAACACAAGGGCAGATCCTCATCAGAGAGGGTGGGATGGCTTGCCATCCGCTTCTTATCTCAAGCTGGCCATGATTCTTTTGCCGCAGGTGAGGAGACGACCGACGTCTATCTGCTCGAGCAGGGTAGCCTCGAGTGCTACACCATTGCCCGTGTGGCGAGCGACGGAGGCAAGGAGAGCACCACCGTCGCGGGCGAGCAGCCAGAGACACATGAGCTGCTCTTGGCGCTCACCACTCTGTCTCCTGGTACCTACGCCGAATACACGAGAATGTATGGGCTCTGCATGGCATTGCCGCCATCAGGGGACACGTTTGGCGAGCTCGCGTGTCTCTATGGCATCCCAAGGACATGCTTTGTTAAGGTAAGCAAATGTCCACTACCTGACATCAACGAGAGTGAACGAGGGCATGGTTCGTATGTCTGAGAGAACCCCTCAGTGTGTGTCAGAGGCCGCAGTGGTGTGGCAGATGGATGCTATAAGCGCGAAGCGCCTGTTCATCGGCCCGGCCCTCACGTCGCTGGAACTCGACCCCATCTTTATCGACAACCATCCCCTCTGCGACCGGCGGAGGCTCTCGCCCTTTGAGCGAGTCAATTTCCTGAGAAGTGCCGTCTCCTCTTCATTCGAGAAGGGCCAGATGTAGGAATGACACGACACGCACTGCATGTGCTGTGTCTGTCCTGCATATGTCTGTGTGTGTGGGGGGGGGGGTCATCAGCCTCCTGGATGTGGATGTAAGTGAGTCCGCTGTGAGGCAGGGGGTCTCCAGCGGAGCAGACCTGTTCATCGTCTATGAGGTTAGAAAGACAGGGAAGGAAGAGACACCGCAGATCCCGTCCATGCATGTGTGCCTCTGTACTGTGGCTGCACATGCACGTCCAGGGCGAGTGTGAGGCAGGTAGGCACAAATGAGAGACACGGATTCAAATAGTCCCATCTGCTCTTTTATGACCTCCATCAGAGGTCGCTGCATCCGACGATCCAACCGAATCTGGCCCCCACCAACCAGGAGACAAAATCATTCTCAAAAAAGGTGCGTTCCCTCTCTCCTCGATGGATCGAAACACGTTGCGGATTTGAATGAGTGCAGGGGACTGGTTCGGCGGATCTGCCTTCGATGTCGAGCGTGACGACCGCGGCATCATCCGCCCTCTGATCTTTGTGGCGAGCGAATTTCATGAGCCCATCCGATTCAAGACAGTCAAGGTACGACGGGGTGACACAGTGGAAGAGCCGGAGAGAGCTCTCATTTATCCTATGTGTGTGTGTCTGCCTGCCTGGCTGTCTGTCTGGCTGCAGGGGTTGAGTGTGGGTGAGGTGTATGTGTTGGGATGGGAGCGGCTCAATGCTGTGCTGCTGGACTCGCTGGCCGAGCTATTGCGGATTCACCAGCTGCCTTGACACTGACTTACAAGTGCATGACAGATATTTACAGACAGACAGACGTTATGTACACACGCGTGCCGGTCGATCGCTCACGTAATACGTATTACTACAGAGTCAAATTAAGGCCGCTGAGCTGACACACTCGCTCTTTCTCTGACAGACACACGCCAGCCAGCCAGCCAGTCAATCGGCCAGTCAATCGATCGGCCAGTCACATTAATTCACTCGCCCACTCACTCACCCACCGGTCATCCATCCGTCGATTCCATCCATCATGTCTCAAGAGCACCACCCCGAGCAGCAGCAGCAGCACAGCCATGACGATGATGACGCCATGGCCTCACACAACAACCACGAGCAGCATGACCATCACGACCACGACCACCCCACCAATGACGAGGGAGAGCATACCATAGCATTGACGGATGAGGCCAGCGGCGGGGGCGGTGAGATGGCAGTCACGTCTGACGTCACATCCGCCATCGAAGCTTGGTACGTACGGGCAGACAGACACAGATCGAGGGGGAGGGGGGAGAAACTCACGTCATGAATATACGTGTCTCTGTCTGACTGTCTGTGTGCGTGTGATGTGTGTGATGTGACTGTGTGTGTGTGTGTGTGTGTGTGTGTGCAGGCGTGCTGACTTCGATGAGGGCCTCAAGCTGTTCCAAGAGCGGTATGTAATCAATCGAGGGTCACTCACACTTGACACATCACCGCCATCACTCACTCGTGTCATCAATGCACATTCTGTGTGATGTGATAGTTTCCAAAGTCTGGTCGAGTCGGTGTCAGTGTCTGTCGAGGCCGTCGACGGCGAGACAGAGCGGCAGACAGACAGAAAGGAGGCCATCGCACAACAGTCCAAACAAATGATGCAGCGATTCATGTACATACGCTCGACATACACAGACACACATAGACATGTCTGTCTGTTGTGCGTCCGGTCAGGTCGATGATTTCCAGCGTGCAGGCGTGTTTGGCGGCACACGAATAAGAGAGACGAATGAAATGAATGAGCGATACACCAACATGCAGACAGACAGACAGACAGACGGACAGTCGCACACACATGAACGACAAGAGGGTGGATGCTGGCACACACGAGTGAGTGAGTGAGTGTGTGGGATGAGCCAACGAGTCATCGATCGAAGGACAGGTCTCATTTGTAGAAGTCCTTTTCCGGCACACTCTGGTTGTAGCGCGTAGGATGCCAGAGTGTCATTCAAGCGCTTATCCCGGAGGTACAGAACCAAGACACATCGATGAAGTATGAGACACCTCGTCACCCTTCTTCTCCAGTGTGTGCGCTGCAGCAGCTGCCGCCCGAGTTGGTCTGGCCGTTCGTCCACGCCGTCTCAGCCAGGGAGCACCTCGGTGTGACCGAGCTGCGCTGCTCACTCAGCTCCATCGCCTCCGACCAGCGAAGAGCGGCCGGCCGGCAGCTCGTCAAGAAGGGGGAGACACCAGCCAGGACACACAGATAGAGGTGGTAGCGGGCTGGGTGGACTCATTAGTGACACATTTGGATTGACGTGAGTGACGGACATAGGTAGGCCTTCATTCATTCAACGACACAAGCCACATGGATGAAGTCTGAGACGCTATGTATTTTCATGGCACACATCACATGGACAGTAAGCCGCCCTGTCCCTCCCCCTTCCCTCCCTCCCTCCCTTCATCCCTTCATCCCTCCCTCCCTCCCCCCCCTTCATCCCTTCATCCCTTCATATCCTTCATCCCTTCATTCCTTCATCCCTTCATCCCTTCATTCCTTCATCCCTCCCTCCCTCCCTCCCTTGCTCCCTCCCTCCCTTGCTCCCATCCCCCCCCCCCCCCAGGTGGGGGCATCGGTCCGTCGTGTGGACCTGTGGCGGCGGCACCTTGGCGGTGGGGAGGCGAGGTCGAGGCGGCTTCCGGGCGCCGCACGACGCACAGCCCACCCGCAGCGCCCGCCGGAGCCGCTGCCACCATGACTTCCGCTCCCCCGGGTAGTTGTTGTATGTGATGTTGTTGTCGTCCTTGGTGCGGCGGAGGGAGGGGAGCACTTTGGCTGGGGTGGGGGAGCTTCTGGGTGGGGGCTTGGGCGTGGCCTTGGGCGGCTGCTGTCGGCCCGCTGCATACAGAGCACACATAGCCAATCAACACATGCATACAGCGATGAATAAGCACATGCATTGTCAGTGAGTGTCACTCTCCTTACCTTCCTCCTCGTCGTCGTCGAGCCAGGGCTCGATGCTGCTGGTGAGCGCTGTAACGAACAGGCAGAAACAAGGAAGGCGGCTTTGTGCGTGCCAATCATCCAATTCTGTATCTCTCCTCGTGTGTACAGATAAGTGTCCGTTTCTCTCACCCCGCTCAGCCCACTCCTCCGCGCTCTCGGGGCCGTCCTCCATCGACAGGCGGCAGCTGTCCTCGATGCCTGTAGCGACGAAGAAAGACGGAACCATCCATTTAGCAAGTCTGTCTCTCTCTGCCTTCTTTCCCTCCTGACCTCGCTCGCCTAGCTCGGACAGGGGGTCGCCCTTGGCATGAGCATCCACCCCCGAGGT